GGAGAAGGGAGGGGGTTGTGCTGGGCACCAAGCTATGGATGAAGGGCTGGAGTGGTCATTTCCAGGGCCAGCACTGCCCAGCTGCCCTCCCCCAGGACAGCTCTGGGGCAGTGCCCACTGGGCCTCTGCTCCTGGCACCAGTCTGGCAGAAAACACAGATTTGTTTCGTTTAGTTCTGTTGCTACGTTGGTTTGTTGGTTTTTTTTAAATTTTTTGCTGTTTAAGCACCGTGTGCTCCCACAGCAACACCCATGCCTGACACTTTCCCAAGGGAGAGGAACAAAAATCCCCCACAAACCTCGGGAAAGGGATATCCCAACCCCTCCCTTCTCACAGCACAACCCTCAGCTCCCTTCCCGAGGATTATCCCGACACACGAGGAGTCGTTGCCCAAAGGAAAGCCCGGGCCAGCAGCACCTCTCACCTCTCCAGAGGGATTCTCTCCTCAGGCTCATCCCGGGGGAATCTGAGCAGCCTCAGGGAGGGAGCAACGTGACAAAAGCCTGGCACATGTTTGCTCTCTCACCTTGTCCCCGGGGAGAGGCGTGGAGCAGCAGATTAAATAAAGCAGAGTGTGACTCTGTGTGTGTGTGTCTGGGGTATTTATGCTCCAGAGGGCAAGGTCACAGCAAGGTGCACAGCAGGGAGGTGCTGTGGCCCCAAAAAGAGGAGGAATTCTGCCTGGCCACGATCTCTGTGGGTACCAGGGAGATGCTGGGTGTGGTTCTGGAGGAGGCAGAGGTGCAGCAGCACCACGAGCACACACCTGAGCCCTCAGGTGATGTTTTGGGCATCACAGCCACTGTAAAGCACAGATCAGCGGGCTGTGCCCGGCGTGGTGCCACACCTCTGCCACTGATGTCCCCAGAGTGGGCACAGAACGGCTCATTTGGAGCCCAGGGAGTCACAGCCACACCCAGAGCGATGCTGCGTTCCCGTAAGGCTTCAGCTTCTCAGCCCTGATCTGTACTCAAATCCACTTTATAGCCCCAATCTGCCCTCAAACCCATTGCACTTTGTGGCCCAGACCTGCCCTCAAATCCCCTGGAAATTGAGCCCATTTTTACCCAGTCCCCTCCTGCCCAGAGCTCTCCACCTCCCAGCAATGAGAGGGGCCAGCCCAGGCCGAGTGCACCATCAAAAAATGGTTTTTTGTTTTTTTGGCTGTGCCATTTGCGTTTGGGTGCTGCCCCTCCCAGGTCAGACACAGCAGGAGCAGCACAGCAGAGCCCCAGAGGGGCTTGGAAACTCC